AATAATTGGAGGAAGCTAGAAAAGGATATCGATGACAATGTCAAATTACGGAACCTTCCCTAGGGTAGACTCGTGATAAGGAGAGGATGTTTTATCATCGAAACTAGATTCTACTAATGATACGAGGTGTTCTTGATAAGAGGTTTGAAGTTTGGGAACTGTCTAAGGGAACCAGATCGATTTCAATAATTGGAGGAAGCTAGAAAAGGATATCGATGACAATGTCAAATTACGGAACCTTCCCTAGGGTAGACTTGTGATAAGGAGAGGATGTTTTATGGTCGAACCTGGATCACACTAATGATACGTGATGTTCTTGATAAGAGATCTGAATTTTTGGTAGCTATTTAAGAGAGCCAGATCGATTTTAAAAATTGGAGGAAGCTAGAGAAGAATATCGATGACAATGTCAAATTACGGAACCTTCCCTAGGGTAGACTCGTGATAAGGAGAGGATGTTTTATCATCGAAACTGGATCCTACTAATGATACGAGGTGTTCTTGATAACAGATCTGAATTTTTGGTAGCTGTCTAAGAGAGCCAGATCGATGATCAGTAATTACAGGGAACAAGGAAAGGATATCGATAATCGACAGTTCTATACCTTCGTGATAATTAAAGAATCTGTTATCATTGAGAGTGGCTCCCGGTAAAAAAAAATCCGAGCTTCCTGACGGATGATCCAAATCATTGACACCGAGGTTAGACATCTCGAGTGATGGCCAAGTTCCAAGATTCAGCTTTTAAGACCCAGTTTTCCGATCGGAGGAGCTACGCCAAAGATTATCTCGAGAAGGCTCGCAACCGTAGATTCCCCGAGATTACTCAATATATTTCCCCACCACCCTGGAGATGCATTTTATCTCCGCCGTCCAGGGTGCAATCTGCATCCTGGAATGCCTCGAGATATTCCAATGTGTATCCGGCGCTAATGTTGCGCAGCCAGGGGAGGATTCGCAACAAGGAATCCGCGGTCGGGACTTTATAGTTGCTCGTAACCGCATTAATGGTTCGGCCCGGCCAGAAATAGAGTTCAAAAGGCCTCTAGCATGAGTGGCAAAGCCGGCAATAATGTTTCGCCCGATCGTAAAATAATTGCCGGCCCCGGATTCCCCGTGATTTACGGCCGATTCGATTATAACCGCGCCGTGCGCGACAATAAAACGGGAATTGCACCTCGGATTGATACGACCAACGAGAAATGGCCGAACGAGGAGGCATTACCGGTTCCCACCGTATTTCCCGTACCGTAAGTCCAACCCGGCATACATTAGGCGACCGTAAAAGACATTTACGCCACGGAATTAACTCTTGACAGAGTATGATATATATATATCAAATAATTCGTATTTCCCCCCCCCCCCCATTTTATTTCTTCCATTCTGCCATTCTTTTCAAGGAAATCAGGGTACTTGAAATACGTGCACTGTTAAACATCCTCGGAAGTTTCTTACACCTCTTGATACCGAGTTACGGTGGAATTATAAATTCGACGTGGATTTAAATTAATATGCAATTTACGCCATGGAATTAACTCTCGACAGAGTATGCCAAATAATTCTTATTTTATTTCCTCCATTCTGCCATTCTTTTCAAGGAAATCAGGGTACTTGAAATACGTGCACTGTTAAACATCCTCGGAAGTTTCTTACACCTCTTGATACCGAGTTACGGTGAAATTACAAATTCAACATGGATTTACATTAATATACAATTTAATTTAATTTTTTCTATAGCAGTAATCGTGAAACAACGTTTTTTTTCTTTCTCGTAAATGTAAAGATATCGTTGTAGAATGTTTCTTTTCTTGCGAAGTCTGTTATCGGAGTAACTTCAAGCTGCATATTTTGCATATGTAAAACATCCCGCGGGAGTTTTTACGCAAAGCAATCGCACAGGTTAATCAACATGACCAAGGATCTACCCCGGTACACCAATAAATAATAAATCATAACAAAATAATCGAGGTATATAAAAGAACCCAAATAACGTCTCGGGAAAAATTAAAGAGTCTCGTCACGTCATACGTCATTCTAATAAATATTTCCACGGAACTGCTCATTCTCTGTCCATGATGAAAATGACCAAAGAACGAAAACCCAAGTTCTCGACAAATTGCACGTGACAGTTAAACATTGCGAATCGCCGGTGAATTTTGTCATTTTTTTTCTTTTTTTTTAATTTTTCCCGATTGTTTTTTCTTCTTTCGGGATCTCGCGACTCTTTGCCGCGTTTCGCGACTCTTCGTCGAATTTCGCGACTCTTCGCCGAATTTCGCGACTTGTCGCGGTATTTCGGGACGTTTGAAATTTTTTGCGGATCCCACGGAGGGAGTTCGCGTTATCCAGACGACCGATAAAGCCCTTACGGAACGAGATCCCGCCCTAACGAGGGTCGATAGGGTCGGAAAGCGCGAATCCATTTACCCCGTCCGTCATTTCGCGACTTTGCGTCCCGTCCGGTCGGTAAAGCAGAGACCCCCCCGGGGGACGTTTATTTTTTTATTCATCGGCGAGGATCGATCGCTCGCTCTATCGGTCTATTCCGTCGAATCGGCGCGCCCGCCAATTCGTAGCCAATAAAAAAGTCTATCGGTGGGACCCAAGAGCCGGTCCACCGTACCCCCGCACTTTACGCACATCTCTACATACGCGGTCGAAAGTGCGCGTGTACGTACGGCGCGTACCGAGCAGGAACGCCAACTAATTCGAGCCGTCACGAGGCTTCAATCCGGGCATCGTTATTAATTCATCCCCCAGGCCTACCCCTCTGAAACTGCACATTTCTACGGAATAATCCACTCGATCCTCCATTTTGATGGGTGCCTTAAATTCCCCGAAAATGGTTCGACAAGAGAAATAAAAATGTTTCTTTACGTGCTAGTGCTTTTATAATCTAAAAAATGTACTTTCAAAGGCTTTCTCTCGTGACTAGGAAATGATACTAGATTTTAGGCATAAAATTCCGCCTTAAGGGGACATGAAAATGCGATCCAATCGTTCATGAAACTTTTCTCCGTACTGGGTGTACCGAATCGTTCCAAACTACAATCTGAACATGGAGACTATAAAAAAGGTCCGGACACTCATAAAATTTCCCTTTTCCTCAGAAATGTTTCAATAATATCTATAAACAAATTGTTAAAAAATTTCACATTTCATCCATACAGTTTTCACGTTCATATTTTCGAATTTGAAACGATTCGTTACACCCGTTTCGATGAAAGGTTTCATAAAAGAGACCACTTTGTGGTCACTTTGACATCGCCTTAAATTACATGCATTTCGTATATCCTTTAGGTAATCGCACATTCTTCCAACAGTCCCCAAAACCTCGAAGAAATGTCTGCAACATAATAACATCCCCACAGTCCATGAACGGTACGAATGTAAAAAAAAAAAATGTGCAAAAAAAGGGCTCGCGATTGTCTCGCGAGGGAAAAATCCGTCCCGGGGGGCGAGCACCCCCGCGAAGGTCCATCACGGTTCGATTCTCCCATTACCCCATCGGTGGGTGAAAGAGACAGACAGAGAGGGGGGAAAAAAAAAGCCGAAAAACAAGGAAAAAGAGAGGAAAGGATAACCGAATAAATACCCCGGGCCCGGTACAAAAGGAGAGCCCCGAATTTCCGCGCAACCCCGCACGCGAGGGTGAATTTCCCCGCACAATCCTCGCGGGTACACTAGGGGGTTACATCCGCGGATGTTCATCGCGGGGGTGATTGTTTTTCATCGAGGGGCGACAACGAAGGGCCGAAAGGGTGCGACGAAGAGAGAGGGTTAGAACGGGGAGCGAAAGGGAGGAAGAGAGAAAGAGAGAGGATAAAGGGTGCGCAAAAGGAGAGAAAGACGGGGCGAGCTGAATCCATATCGGGGGAGAAAAAAGGGAGCATTCGCGAGTGGACGAGGCGGGATGCCTCCGCGGGGGGGTGGGGTNGTGGGGTGGAACGGTTTGCGGAGGACATGAAAGGGATGCGCACCGACGCCATTCTCGTCCGTTTCTCCCGGGGGTGAGTCGGGGGTGGTCGGGGGGAAGAGAGAAGGCGTGGGGGTGGAGGAGCCTCCGGGGGGTAGGGGGCGCCTCGCCGGGTCTCCGTCCCACCTGCGCCCTCGGTGGGGGTGCAGGTGTAGGAGACGCCGACTGACGTCAACCTCCGGTCCCTGGCCAGGCACATGCGTGCTCCTCGGGCTCGAAGATACCGAGAAGAGAGACGGAAGGGGTGAGAGAGAAAGAGAATCGGCGAGGATCCGAGAGAGCCGGAGAAAGGTAGGAACGGAGAGACGAGATCGATTCGCGGATTCGCGATATCGTGGACGCGGAAATTCCGGGAGGGTTTTCGGAAGAGGGGGGGAAAGACGACGCGCGCCCCCCGCGAGGGTTCCGGGACGCGATCCGACGCCCGGCACCCCGGGGCCGGCCCCGGCGCCGCTGGGCGTCGCGGTATCCCAACAATTACCATTGTGATTTGCGCGAGAGAGACGGGGCTCCGCCGATTGGCCTCCCCTCCCGGGCGAGAGGGTTGCGCGGCGGCGGCGGCGCCGTGGCTCCCGGGCGGAGGAAGAGGCACCGCCGGAGAGAAAGGGCCGCTTCCTCTCGCCGGGGCGCCGCGTCTCCTCCCCGGATTATCCCGGCCGCGCCGGCCATCCGCGGGCCACTGTGCGGGCCGCCGCCGCGGGGCGCTGCCGCGCGCCCGACCGTCGACCTTCCCTCTCCGTCCCTCTCGCCCCGACTGCCGCGGTCGCTCTCTCTCCGCCGCGCGCTAGGGCCCTCGCGGGGGGCGGAGCGCGGCCGGTGGGCGTGGCCGGCGCCCGCACGCCCGCGCAGGCGCGGACGCGCCGGGCCCGGAGTGGGGCCGCCGGAGGAGCGGGCTGGCGCGCCGCCGCGAGCCGCCGAGCCGCCGGCGGGCGGCCGATCTGCGGCGAAGCGGCGCGCGCCCCGAATCGCTCGCCGCGGGCTCTCTCTCTCTCCCTTCGGTCAGTCAGCCGACGCACGCTACGCCGTGTTTATCCTCTCTCTATTGTACCGGGCCCGCTCCGTCGCTCGCTCTCTCTCGCTCTCGTATCTCGACCGCGCCAGCCGTCCCTGTCGACGCGGAGACGATGGACCGGGCTCCTCTGCCGGGCCCGACGACGCGCCCGGCCTGTTAGCGCGACCAGGGGCCGCAGGTGCCGCAGGGCACAGTGACCGGTGTGGGGGCGGAGGGGACGGGTTCAGTGCCGCCGGACCGCAGGGAGACCGTTCACCTGGCCCGCACCTTTACAAGGCCGCCAGGATGATATGAGCACGGCTGGCAGGTGAGTACGAGACGCGCACTCATTTGAGGGGACCCGCTTTACCCAATTCTCCTTTTCCGATTCCTACCTCGACTACCTTGCGAGGATGACCTATCGAGATGGATTCGGCATTCCAGGGTCGAGCGTTTGTTTTTCTCGTACCCCCTCTATTTTGGGACTTAGTCCCATCGACCGCTCCCAACCTTGCGCTGGGTTTAAGTTAACGCGATTCACGCGATTTAAATTTATTCTTTACTCGTCGAGTAGTGAACTTTTAACGCGGATTAATAATTTACGTGTTTCGGGACTTAGTCCTAGTGGGTACGGCCTACCCGGTGATGATGAAAATTCATCCTCTGAACGTTAAATCTTAATCGCACAACGCGGATTAATTCTGAAAGCATTTTCGGACTTACTCCAATTGAGCAGCTTTGATCTTACCCCGCTTTTAAAATGGTCTCGATGTAATTATCCCAGGAATTTTGGGACTGAGTCCCCAAAAATACCCCGGCAGACATTCGCAGATTCTAAGTACCCACGAGCCGATCGAGGGAAAACGCACCCCCGTCCACTAAATATTACTTTTTCAATAATTCACCCTCCAGGAATTTTGGGACCGAGTCCCCAAAAATACCCCAGCAGACATTCGCAGATTCTAAGTACCCACGAGTCGATCGAGGGAAAACGCACCCTCATCCGCTAAATATCACTTTTTTAATAATTCACCCTCCAGGAATTTTGGGACCGAGTCCCCAAAAATACCCCAGCATACATTCGCAGATTCCAAGTACCCACGAGTCGATCGAGGGAAAACGCACCCTCATCCACTAAATATTACTTTTTTAATAATTCACCCTTCAGGAATTTTGGGAGTAAGTCCCATCGAGCACCAGAAACAACCCTTTCTAACCCCTCGCGACCCCCTTAATGAAACCGTTTCCATTAACCCTCATTAATCCTAGCGGGTCCCTTCTATCAATTTCGGGACTAAGTCCCAACTTCGCCGATAAGTCCCAACTCTTTTTCCTTCTCCGAGATTTCAAATCCAGCGCCTTGTAAGACATTCCGTTTGATACAAGTAACCGCACTTGATTCTCTTAGTACCCTGTTCTTAGGGTAAAAAAGGGCCCAAAGTCCCCCCCCCCCGTACTTCGTGGTGGGCCTTACTCCGCCGCGTGCGGAGAGAAGAGAGAATAGCCGGTTAACACTATTTCTACCAAAGGTGTCAAAAGACACCTTTTAAAATTTTGTACTTGAAATTATTTTCAAAGTTTAATAATTTTTTTGTCTCAATTAATGTTTTGAATTTTCGTATAATATTTAGCGGTATCATTTTCCTCCAGCTCATCTAGGATCTATGTAAGACACCTTTTGGTCGAAATAGGTATACACAAAATCGTGGTAGAAATGGTGTTAACGACGGGATTAACGCGTTAACCGCAAACAAAGTGACCGTCAATTTAACCACTATCTATTTTAACGTCGTCACGGCTCACTCGGGATCGCGTAAGTCACGTTGGTTGCATAATTGTGCACCACGTTGTTCGCGCTCGGGAGCGAAAAATCGGCCGGTCGAGTGGTAATGCAATCCAGGCGTATAGACACGTACTCGCGCAAGGGCTGTACGCCGCGATTGCACTCGAGAGAGAGCACTCGTTGGTGTTCCTACGTGACGTCACCGAATTTTCAATTAACCCCGAAAACCTCAATTTCCATCCTCACTTTCCCGAAACGCGGACAATTGAACGCGCAATGCGTACCAAGTGATTTCTCGGCAGCAGTAAGACCTCCACTGGGGAATTTTAATTTAAACCTGAAATTTAGAATTTTTTTTAATGTGCGATTAAACATCTGGGCATCCCGATGGAAGAGCTTCACGGACGTTTGGTCCAATATTCCCTGCACGGTCAGACGAATTTCGCCCTTATGTCGAAATGGCTCCGGGTTCGAAGGGTTAAGATCTGATGTCGAGTTATGAATTTAATGTTTTAACTTCTAATTTTTCTTTTTTTGGGGTAAGTTTTGAATCGCGTTTGTTATGTCCAATTAAAAGATTGCGCGTGGGAATATTTTTATTTAAATTTTAGATTGCACATTTTTTTTTTCTGTGATTTTCGAACACTGTTTCAAGATTTTTAAGATCACATCTTGAAACGTGTGCAGTTGCACGTCCGCGTGCTGAATCTCGCACCTGAAGTGTAATAAATAATTTTCCGGTCACCTCTCATTGCGACGTAATGTCGAAATATGGTTCCGACTCCGAACGTGGCAAATTATTGCCGCGCGGTTTAATTTTTTTAGTGTCAACGTCGACTCCTGAAACGCGGGTAAATTTTCATTTAAATTACAGCTTGCAAATTTTTTTCTATGACTTTTTAACATTAATTTAAGATGGTGAGGATGTCTTGAGACGCGTGCAATTGCACGTCCGCGAAAAGTGCAATAAATAATTATCCGGTAATCTCTAATTGCTACGTAATGTCGGAATTATGGTTTCAACTCCGAATGTGAAAATTCCTTGCGGGGCGTTTCAAATCGCGCTTAATTTCATTATCGACATCGCCTCTTGGAGCGCGTGCACTTGCACGTGCACACGGACAATTGCTCGCCTAATGTATGTCGTGCAACTCTTCCGGGGAGCCCGAGGGAAGAGTCCCCTTCGTGAATGGTGAAATCGACCCCTTGAATGGAAACGGCGTTTCCGCCGTCGCGACGCACTCGACGTTTACCCGGAATAAGACATTCATCCGAGTCCCGGGATCGAAGGAAGTTGCCTTGTCTCGTTGCTGTGATAAATTTTCCAGTGCGTAGTTTGACGGTTAGACTTGACGGTTTGACTTGACGGTTTAGCTTGACGGTTTAGCTTGATGGTTTAGCTTGATGGTTTAGCTTGATAGTTTGACTTGACGATTTAGCCTGACGGTTTAGCCTGACGGTTTAGCCTGACGGTTTAGCCTGACGATTTAGCCTGACGATTTAGCCTGACGATTTAGCCTGACGGCTTAGCCTGACGATTTAGCCTGAAGATTTAGCCTGACGAATGCAGCCTGGTGGTTCAGCTCAAGCCCGACGGAGCCATTCGAGCCCGGAACGTGCGTGCACTCGTATCGGGGATGCGTGCGTGTTCCCGGGGAACCCGGAGCCAGAGCCACGTGTTTTCACGGAGGGAAGTTCGAAGGGAAGAGAGGGAGCGTGCACCCGACCCAGTGACCCGGCATCGGCGTTCCCCCAACGATGCCGTCGCGATCATTCCTCTTTCGTTGACGGTCAGGCTGCTTCGTCTCTTGTTACCACTCCCGGATTCCCTTCTTGACCCCCACGTTCCGTTGTTCCGACAATTCCACCTGATAAACCGTCTCGACTCCCGATTTCCTTTTTTAACCTCCACGTTCCGTTGTTCCGACAACTCCACCTGATAAACCGTCTCGACTCCCGGTTTCGTTTTTTGACCTCCACCTTCCGTTGTTCCGATAACTCCACCTGATAAACCGTCTCGACTCCCGATTTCCTTTTTTGACTCCCACGTTCCGTTGTTTTGACAACTCCACCTGATAAACCGTCTCGACTCCCGATTTCCTTTTTTACCCTCCCACAAGGAGGTGCCACCCTGTTACTTTTCTTACCTTTCCGACATCTGCGAGATACATTTTCCGCGTTCCCTAAATATCCTCTTAGAATCCCGTCCCCCTTTAATTCCGCCTTCCTTCGTGCAACTAAGGGCGGTATCGATGCTTTCCCATGTATCAATTCCGTGAGGGATGTTTCCCGTTTCTTGTATATGCACCCCTGGAACTTTATTTCCTCGATTTCCCGTCCCGTCACTCCGTCGTTTCGACGACTCGAAGCGACGATAAGTGTCGCCGATATTTTCCCGACTTTCGATCGGCTCGTCGGGAACACTTTCCGCGGTTTGAGAATCTATCCTTAGAACTCCTTTTCTTTAATCTCGCGTCCCGTCGTCTCGACGTCGCTAAGTGCCTTTTTACGACCGTAAATTCCCTCCTTTTCGCGTTTTACCGTCAACGCGCCAACTATTCCGAAAATGAGCAATGGCTATTACTTAGGCCCTAATTCCTTGTTCTGGGGGCTCGGAGACAAACGGAGTTGCATACGTCGGTGCTTATTCGACAATGGGTTATGTCTTAGGGATCGTTCACTACTTCCGAATGACGTCGCCCTTTCCGATTCGCGTTCCGTCGTTCCGTATTTCCGCAATTCCGCTTTCCGGCGGATGCGTCGACGGCTCCTCGACCATCAATTCACCTGCGAGAAGCGTTTTTCCTGTTTCACCTCCCCTTTTACCCGCGCGTTTTTCCGTTCTTCCGATGTTCCGTCGTTACAGGAACGAGGGCGTTCATTCCGCAGCCGGGAAACGCGGATAAAACGCAATCGCTTCCCGACCCACCGACGACTTCGCGTGGCCCTCTACTTCTGCAAGGGAAATTTTCCGCTCGCACTTCGTGGATTTTCTTGGTTCTGACATTTTGTTATAGTACATCGAAATGTAAGAAACACGTATTTTTTTATTCGTGATAATTCCTGACTTTGGGGGATGAAACCCACCCCAAAAATAAACCCCTCAAGAACGGTTTTTTGACGTTTTCAGGGCAAACGAAATAATATTCCTTAATCGGATCATCGGAGGCTTATTTAATTCTGTGACATATTGTACATTGGAAAAATAATTAACACGTATTTTTTTATACGTGAAAGTTTCTGAGTTTGGGGGATGAAACCCCCCTCCGAAAAAGTAGATCCCCAAGAACGGTTTTTTGACGTTTTCAGGGCAAACGAAATAATATTTCTCGACCGGATCACCTGAGATTTTTTCAGTTTTACAATTCCTGAGATTCTAACGTGTCATACATTCAATTCGGTTAACGTGAAAACGTGAAAAATATCTTCTTGAAAGGCAAGAAAGATTTCGAAATTGTAGTACGCATGTCCTTTAAAATTGATATATACTTGTATACCAAAATCCCAATTACGAAGTATCGAGATATCGCATCGTGAATAGAAAC